ACCACAACCACAACCACAACAACAATACGTTCAAGAGCGTTCGCCCTTATATGCTCGAGTGTCCAATAACGCGTATTTCCCAAACCCTCGATACCCGCCCTCTTCGTCTTCGATCGAACCCCTCTTGGGGGGTATACCTTTCTTCCCTGCAGGCCGGGCCCCGGCAAGCGGCGAGTCGGCCGCGGACCGTCGGCCTGGCCAGCGGCAGCGCTGATCGGCGGGGCGGCCGCGGACCGTCGACCCGACCCCAAGAGGGACGGACAGGGGACCGACCACGACGACGACGACGACGACGACGACGTCGAAGACGACGGCGACGACGACGACGACGACGGCGACGACGAGCGAAAGCGACAGCGAGGAAAAACGACAGCAGGGCCACGAAGGGCACGAAGTAGGCCACGAAGGGCGACAGCGGGGACACGAAGGGAATGCGTACGGGGCCACGGAGAGCGCGAACGAACGGGGGCCACGAAGTGCAGATAATGCGGGGCCACAGAAGGCAACTATGGGGCCACTGAGGGTAGCAACTGGGCCATGTATGACAATGAGGGGGACACAAATGGCGATAACGGGGCCACGAAGGGCATGCACATGGGGCCACAACGGGCGCGACTCCTGGGTGCCTGGGTGTCGGGAGCGCGGCGCTTGGGCAAATTCCAAGAAATTGCAACGCAGCCATTCTTCAGTAAGTTGCAAGCAAATCTCCAAAGAGAGCGCGACTCCAGAGCGCCGGGAAAGCGATTCCTGAATAAAAGGAAGTCTCAAACGGGAACGCGAATCCGTAACAAAATGCGAGAAAATCTCGGGCGGGAGCGGGGGTCCTGGCTAAATTGTAAGGAAGTTTCAAGCGGGAGCCGCTGTTGTTGTAACCCGGGGGCCAGGGGCCCAGTTTGAACATCAAGGCTTTCCCTGTCAAAAAAGCAGGGTGCGAACGTCGAGGGCACACTTTGATTGAGAAAGAACAGTATGCACTGGCGAGGGGATCATCAATAATTCTTCTTCAAAAATCAGAATCCAATTACTCCGACGGAAGAACCCCACATAAGAATCCTCTGGGCGAATCTGGAAAAAGCCATCACCGTCGTCCTCGTGGTTGGTGAGGCGTCCTGGCTGTCTCTTCTGCGTATATTTCCTCTCGCCTTGGCGCGGGCCCCCCTTCCACTCCTTACGTTGTCCCCATCCTCGCCCCCCTGTTTGTTCCGCGCCCCGCCACCTCCTCCCCTTCCTGTTGCATGAGCGCGCATGTCGATGTTCCTCGGCGCCGTCGCCGCCACGGCCAGCACAGGCGCGTTCTCTACTGGTCACGTCGCGCAGCCGTTGGGACAACCCCGCGGGCCAGGCTGTCGGGACAACCCCGCGAGCCGTTGGCGCGCAAGACCAAGCCGTTGGGACAACCCCGCGGGCTTCGAGCGAGGCGCAGCCGCGCTCAGGCGGAAGGCAGCACGAAGCCCAGCTCTGCCGCGAGCTGCTTCGCCTCCGCCCTGGACAAAACCGCTCTCTTGTCGAACTCCAGGAGCGCCTTCCGCAGGGACGCCGGCGGCCCGCACTCCAGGAACTCTCGCGGCGGCGGCCGCAGGATCAGCATGTTCCGCATGCGCGTGGCGCGGGAGAACATGACGTAGAGGTGCAGCCACCACTGCTCGTCCGACATGCCCGTGCGGCCAGCGTCCTCGTCCCTCGCGCAGTCGATGGTGACGCCCTTGCGCAGTTTCTGGCCCTGCGACAGAGTGGAGGTCAGGTAGGACGCGTGCGTCAGGGTGAACCCCGAGCGGCGCACGCTGTGCCCAAAAACTTCCTTGTTGTATCCAAAATGTGGCCTGGGAGCTGCGTTCTGGCAGCGCGAAAACCCCAACTTGACGACAGTTACAGGTTTTGGATGACCCGCTCGGATTACCAACATGATCTGCGGGCCCCATAGGGAGGGGGCTCCCGCCTGAGACTTCCTCGCAGTTCCCTCACAGACGAGGCTCCCGCCTGAGACTTCTTCCATATTCAGGCTTGGGGAGCCCAAAAGTGACGACAGTTACAGGGTTCCGATGACCCGCTCGGATTACCAACATGATCTGCGGGCCCCATAGGGAGGGGGCTCCCGCCTGAGCCTTCCTCAGAATTCACTCACAGACGAGGCTCCCGCCTGAGACTTCCTCCCAGGCTTGAGGCTGACGACAGTTACAGGCCTGAGGACCCCTCTGAGATTCACTCACAGACGAGGCTCCCGCCTGAGACTTCCTCCATTTTCATGCCCAAAAGTGACGACAGTTACAGGGTTCCGATGACCCGCTCGGATTACCAACATGATCTGCGGGCCCCATAGGGAGGGGGCTCCCGCCTGAGCCTTCCTCACAATTCACTCACAGACGAGGCTCCCGCCTGAGACTTCCTCCAAATTCAGGCTTGAGGAGCCCAAAAGTGACGACAGTTACAGGGTTCCGATGACCCGCTCGGATTACCAACATGATCTGCGGGCCCCATAGGGAGGGGGCTCCCGCCTGAGACTTCCTCCAATTCACTCACAGACGAGGCTCCCGCCTGAGACTTCCTCCATTTTCAGGCCTGGGGAGCCCAAAAGTGACGACAGTTACAGGGTTCCGATGACCCGCTCGGATTACCAACATGATCTGCGGGCCCCATAGGGAGGGGGCTCCCGCCTGAGACTTCCTCACAATTCACTCAACGATGATGAGGATGAGGATGATGAGTGGTGGTGAAGATGAGTGGTGAAGAGGATGATGATTGATTGTGAGTGGTGGTGGCGATGATGATGTTTGAATGAGGATGATGCCGATGCCGATGATGATGATGATGATGATGATGATGATGATGATGATGATGATGATGATGATGATGATGATGATGATGTTCGTGAGCGTGTGAGAGAGTGCGAGTGATGATGATGATGAGTATGTGAGTGACTAAGCATGTGAGAGAGCATCATCGATGATGCTGATGAGGTTGATGATGAGAGAGTGTGAGTGAGTGTGAGTGGGTGTGTGTGTGTGTTCCTGTTCCTGCGCGGGGTGTCCAGAGAAAACAAGAACCCCACTTTGGATGTGGGGAACAACAACAACACCACCACCAACAACAGCAACAACAAACACAAAACCAACAACCACAACAACAACATCAACACCAACAACAACAACACCAACAACACCAACACCAACACCAACACCAACAACAACAACAACAACACCAACACCACCAACAACAACAACAACACCACCACCAACAATAACGCAACAAACATAAACCCCACCACGGATTTTCACTTCAGCCACGCACCCAATGTCAATGAATGACCGGTCGGCCCCCTCTCTGACAAATTCCAAATGTCGTAGTCCGCAGGCCTCCTTGCGGGGCCATCAAGCTGCGAGGCTTAGGTTTGCTGCTCCCTACACCAGCTCCGGTTTCCAATGTTACAATCTTGCTTTCTGTTTCGCACTGTCAATTGTTACTGCCCGCGCGAGGAGGGGGGCCGAAAAGGACCCTGGTTAGCGTCCCCGAACTGCGCGCTCTGAGTGTGAGGCCGTGGGACACGCTAAAGCACGGTAAGTTTGCGTTTCCGACGCAATAGTCCCTGATATATTATACTGCACTCGCGGCTCTGAGGCCAAGATCCCTTCGCAAATTACGCTCGGCTGGCGTCCCTGAAGCCACGATCCCTCGTAACACACTCCATACTCACGCTCCTGAGGCCACAATTCCCTGTAAATTCTGGACGCTTCGCGTAATTAACCCCACCAGCCAATCCAGAAACTATGCCCAGAGGAATCCTAAACGTTTCGCGTGACCCCACCAGCCCCGTAACCCCTTTGGCTCGATCCGTCTCGGCTCGAGCACGCCCCTGATCCAGGTAATTACGCGCGGCGCTCGGCCTGCCGCGATGGCTCCCGGCGCTGGCGGCCTCACCCGCGCCGCCCTGCGGCGGCGCCAGCGCCTGGCTACCGCCGCCCGCGGCGGGCCGCCTGGCCTACGCCCGCCCGTGGCTGCTGCTGCTGCTGCCGTCACCGCCGCCGCCGCCGCCGCCGCCGCCTCCTCCCCCCCGGAGGCTGGCGTGCGCACGGCGGCAGGCGGCGGTGGCGCCGCTGGCCGCTTGCCCCGCCGGCGCTGCGGAGGCTCTTGCTGCTGCCGCCGCCACCGCGACCTCCCCCCCGGAGGCTGGCGCGCGCGGCGGCACGCGGCGGTGGCGCCGCGGACGCGGCTGTCGCCGCGCTGGCCGCTTGCCCCGCCGGCGCTGCGGAGGATGCTGCTGCTGCCGCCGCCGCTGCCGCCGCCACCGCCGCCTCCCCCCCGGAGGCTGGCGTGCGCGCGGCGGCGGGCGGCGGTGGCGCTGCGGACGGGGCTGGCGCCGCGCTGGCCGCTTGCCCCGCCGGCGCTGCGGAGGATGCTGCTGCTGCCGCCGCTGCCGCCGCCGCCGCCGCCTCTCCCCCGGACGCTGGCGCTCGCGGCGGCGGGCGGCGGTGGCGCCGCGGTGACCGTTTTGAACGCTCTTACTACCCGCGGACCCACCGTCCAGGTCCAGGGGAGGGGGGGGAAGGGTGAACCCCGTCCCGAAGGGGAAAAGGAAGGGGTGGAAGAAGAAATCCCAAAAGCACTTTACGCCCTGAAGGGCTGGTGGGATTACACAACACTCTCGCCTCTGAGGCCGCGAGCCCCTGCAAATTACACCACATTCTCCCCTCTGGGGCCACGATCCCCCGGAAATTGCACCACATTCTCGCCCATGGGGCGACGATCCATTGTAAATTGTTGACGCTTCGCGAATCCCCACCAGCCCCTCCAGAAACGAGGCCCAAAGGAATTGCCTGGATCAGGGAAGTGGGCAGCACACAGTGGAAGCCATTATGATACATCTTGGGATATCTTCAGCCATTTTGGAGATCATCTTGGGCTCGCCCAGGCGCTCTTGGAGTCATCTTAATCAGTGCCCCCCCCAAGAGGCCAACATGTGGCTAAAACCTCCGTAGAATCAATGATTTGGCATTGTCGCCGAGACATTTTTTTTCATAGATTTCCGATCGGCACCGATGACTATAGCACAGTCTCCCGAGTAAGCTTCCAAGCATCATGCTTCCCTGGCACCGAGAGCGTCAGGCGCAGCAATTGTGCACTGGCACCGAGAGCGCCAGGCGCAGACGTTGCTGGGCCTCCCAGAAAACAACAACTAAGGACAGGCCTTGCACACCCTTATTAAGGGACAAAATACTGAAATATGAGCTTGCGACTGCAGATCAGCCTCACGCAAAAGCGCGGCCCAAGAAGTAAGAGAAGAGGAGACAAACATGTGGGTAAATCGCCCAACCTTCCAAACAGCATGTCTATGCATGTGCTGTCACGCCAGCTGGCAGAGCACGCGCAGGACGAAGGAGGGTAAGTGAGCACGGAGGACTGGCAGAGCACGAGCGGGAGGGACGAAGAAAGACAGAGACAGGAGGCAGAAGGATAAAGGAGAAAAAGGAGCAGGAGAATGACTGGGAGGAGGAGAAGGAGGAGGACGAGGACAAACAGCAGCAGCAGGAACTGGAGTGGACGGCGCGGGGGGAACCGGAGGTCCAGGGGAAGGCGGAAGAGGAAGAAGCAAGGGGCGGGGAGGAAGCGCTTGTCGCTTCCTGCACGGCGCCCCAAGACCTCAAGACTGAGTCCCCCCCCAACAGCTCCAGCGGCGGCCGCCACAGGAATTCAGACCTGCGCAGGCTGCCGAGCGGCGTGCCATCCTGGGCATACTGGGTGGAGGATATTCCCCATCTTACTAATCAGCGACTAGCGACTGCCAGTGATCAGGAGGGTGATCAGGAGACGAGCGCGACTGGAGCAGAGCACGAACCAGCCAGCCAGGCCTCGGAAAGAAATAGCTAACACTCATGCCACGTTCATCTGTCAACGCATCCCCCTCCCCCAATGTTCAAAGTTGGCGGTGGGCCTGATGAGTTGCACGTCGGCCGCAGTCTCCCCCGCGCGTGCCAACTTTGCGTTTTGGGGGCAGGGGGGGTTCACGAATGATTTCCCTTTACCAACAGAGGGAGAATCCAAACAGCAGCGCGGTGAGAACTTACTGCAAAAGGGAACGGATAAAACAACTCGTGAGAGCCCATCCTTACATAGCAAGGACAAGCGACTGCGGTGCTCAGGAGACGAGCGTGACTGCAGCAGGGCACGAACCAGCCAGCAGAGGGCGAACCCAAAAAGGGCAGTGGCAGAATATTGACAAACAAACTCCACATGCTCCGCATGCTCAGCGTCCATCCGTATCCATAACAAGGGAAGATAAGCGAGAACTGGGAGGATGAAGAAGACAATGGGAAAGTTAAAAACCAAGGGACGTTCGCTTCAGACTCGCACAGAGGAGTGGAAGGAGCGAGGGAAGGAAGAAGACGGGTGGAGGAGGAAAACGAGCGATGAGGCACGGGAGCCTAGTCTACTGATCGTAGCAGACACTAGCAGACGCTGCTCAGCATGAGGGCAGTGGGCTGCGGGAAGGGGGCCCGAGACTTACCGATAAAGACCACCGGCTTGAACTGATCGGGGATGAAATCCTCCATGCCAAGGGTGTGCCAATAACGGTCAACGTTCGCCTGAAACCCCTGAATCGCACACCACGTTATCGTGCAGAGCTTCCTGCACCGGATAGGCCACTTTGTGAAGCCGCTGAAAGCGCCGATGAAGCTGTTGGCGAGCTCATTGCTCGCAAAGTTCACGAAAGCATACCCCTTGCTCTGGTGGGTCATGAAATCTACTGGCAGGTAGACATAATCGTATGCTCCTTCGAACCCTTCCCCATTCATCGCATCGATCAACTCATCGCGTGTGACACCGTAGGGCACATTTTTCACGATCAACGTAGTATAGTGCTTGCTATCAGTCGCTGAATGTTGGATGTCAGGATTAGGCCCCTGCCCTGGAGAGGCAAGGGCGCGGCAGAACGCGCCCGTCGTCTGTGGGCAGCCCGGAACGAACACCGCAGCATTGCAAGCCAAAGGCGTAAAGCTTCCGGCCTTGCTGCTAAGAGGCGTTCGTGCGCTGGGAGAGGCCGATGCCTGACCATTCTGCTTGCCAGCTGGCGGACTCTCGCACAACTTGACCTGAAGATCGGCAGGGACAAGCGGAGTATGTGACGACTGCCAACACAAGTAGTGATCGGTCGAGCGGCAGCTGAGTGTATCATCCTCGGGCTCCTCGTGTACGACGGCCGGGCCCGTCCGATTACTGAGACGGAGACTGCGACTGGCGTCGCTGCGCGTCTTGTTGTGCTTGAGCCGCGAACCACTGGAACCATCCTCGCGTGAAGTGCCCTCGTCCATGTCCTTGCCACGGATGGGAGGGCATGACTGAACTCGACGCATACCACAGACAGAGGGTGCGAAGGGCTGGTCAATGCAGCTCTCGAACTCCAAGAACGTGTTCTTGATGATCAGGCGAACGTCCGCCATGACCAATGCGGGAGACTGCGTGCGTTCGGTCGAACAAGGATACGTTCGGTCTGCTGCCCGCGTGCAGTGGGAGCCCAAACGTCTTGAGCCAAAATGGCTACGGACATTGTCGCCGAGACCTCTTGGAGCATCTTGGGTGCTTTTGGGAGGTCTCTTGGGGCCTCTTGGGGATCTCCTGGGAGCCTCTTGGGGACATCCTGGGGGCCTCTTGGGGTTTCCTGGCCACCTCTTGGGGCCCTCTCGGGGCACCCAGGGAGCCTTGGGGGCCATTTGTGGACCATCTTGGGCGAGATCGATCACAGGAGGGGGGGTGTCGAATTAGCGTCCCCCACCCACGAGGCCAAAATGGAGCCAAAACCATAGTAAATCCAATGATTTTGGCTTCCTCGCCGAGGCCGTTCTGGACGCTCCGGCGACTCGCGGAATCCCCCGTCCAGGTCCAGGGGAGGGGGTCGGGGGAGGAACAAACCCCTCCCCGAAGGGGAACAAGGAGGGGCGGAGAAGGAAACGCTCTAAACCACCTGCGCCCAGAGGGCTGGTGGGATTACCCCGCGCTCGCGCACCGAGTCCACGATCCCTTGCAAATTACACAACATTCGCGCCCTCGAAGCCACGATCCCGCGCGAATTACGCCACACTCGCACCCCCGAAGCCACGATCCCTAGCAAATCGCACCACACTCGCGCCCCCGAGGGCACGATCTCCTAGAAGAGGCCCCAATCGGCGCCCAAGACCGGCCCAGGAGGCCTTCAAGAAACCCAAAAGATACCCCACGAGGCCCCAAGAGGCCCCTAAGAGGCGCCCAGACCGCCTCCAAGAGACCCCCGATAGGCTCCCCACGACACATACAAAAGGCCCCAGAAGGTTTGTTGAAGCCCAGACCCAATGCAGAAGCTCCATCCTCAGAAACAACATGCTCAGCCAGATTGTCAGCAACGCCTTCGGCGAACAATGTTTTGATCTATGTTGTGATATGCTTACAAACGTGTTCAACCTTCCTCTGTCGTGCAGTGTAGCCCAGGACGCATTATTCCCTGGGGGAAGGAGCCCCCAACATGATTCAGCCCGCCCAACAATTGAGGGAAACGGATCTCCGCCGCGACGACGACGCTGACGATAACGGTCAAGAGTACGATTACGGCTACAAGCACGACGAGGATTATGACAACAATCACACATCCAATCAATATTACAGCCACGACTATAACAACTACTACAAGCACTACTACAACCACAACTTCTGATTCTTAGTACAGTTCTCCCGAGATGATGCCCGCCGATACTCTCGGGTGTAGGGTTGCCCTCAACGGACTATTCCCTGGAAGGCAGAGCCATCAACATTACCCAGCCTGCCCAATAGAGAAGCAGTGGTATCCGCCGCGCCGTCCGTGCTCCTCCTCCTTCTCCTCCTCCACCGCGGGAGTAATTAGAGTAGCCGTGGTAGTGTTAGCCGTCGTCGTCGTCATCGTCGTCGTTGTTGAACGAATAGTGGTGGTAGTAATAAAAGTAGTGGTAGTAGCAGTCAGCGGAGTAATCGTCGTAGTCATAGTAGTAGTCATGGTAATGATAAGTATAATCGTAGCCGTCATAATCGAAGAAGTAATAGTAATAGTAGTGGTAGTAGTCGTACTCAAACTCGTGGTAGTAAAGCGTTTTATATAATTATCCTGTGACGTACCCGACCCATTTGCATCAAGGGGCCCGATGAATCGGCGAGTATCGTCGTGAAGAACGCAGCCCCCCAGGAATGACGAGCTCTAATCCTGATCTGCGGTGGGTACCCTCTCTGTTGGCCTCCCCAGCAGCCCTCGAATTGGCAACACTTTCGCAGATCGCAGCCCCCCAGGGATGGTGCGCTATTATTCTGATCTGCGGCGGGTGCCCTCTCTGCTGGCCTCCCCAGCAGCCCTCGAAAGCTGCCTGATTCGCAGATCGCAGCCCCCCAGGGATGGCGCGCCATTATTTTGGTCTGCGGTGAGTGCCCTCTCTGCTGGCCTCCCCAGCAGCCCTCGATAGTGGCAACAGTTTAGCACATCGCAGCCCCCCAGGAACGGCGAGCTCTAATCCTGATCTGCGGTGGGTACCCTCTCTGCTGGCCTCCCCAGCAGCCCTCGAATTGGCAACAGTTTCGCAAATCGCAGCCCCCCACGGATGGCGCGCCATTATTCTGGTCTGCGGTGAGTGCCCGCTCTCCTGGCCCCCCCAGCAACCCTCGGAAAAAAAAGGCAACAATTTAGCAGATCGCAGCCCCCCCCCCCAGGGATGGCGCGCCATTATTCTGGTCAGCGGTGAATACCCTCTCTGCTGGCCTCCCCAGCAGCCCTCGGAAAAAGGGCAACAGTTTCGCAGCTCGCAGCCCCCCAGGGATGGCGCGCTATTATTCTGGTTTGCGGTGAGTACCATTTCTGCTGGCCTCACCAGCAGCCCATCGAAAGTGGCAGCTGTTTCGCAGATCGCAGCCCACCAGGGATGGCGGGCTATTATTCTGGCCTGCGTTGAGTACCCTCTCTGCTGGCCCCCCCAGCAGTCCTCGAAAGTGACGACAGTTTCGCAGATCGCAGCCCCCCAGGGATGGCGCGCCACTATTCTGGTCTGCGATGAGTACCCTCTCTGCTGGTCTCCCCAGCAGCCCTCGAAAGTGGCAGCAGCTTCGCAGATCGCAACCCCCCAGGGGTGGCGCGCCATTATTCTGGCTTGCGGTGCGTACCCTCTCTGCTGGCCTCCCCAGCAGCCCTCGAAAGTGGCAACCGTTTCGCAGATCGCAGCCCCCCAGGGATGGCGCGCCATGCTTCTGGTCTGCGGTGGGTACCCTCTTTGCTGGCCTCCCCAGCAGCCCTCGACCGTGGTGACAGTTTCGCAGATCGCAGCCCCCAGGGATGGCGCGGTATTATTCTGATCTGCGCTGAGTACCCTTTCTGCTGGCCTCCCCAGTAGCACTCGATAGTGGCAACAGTTTCGCAAATCGCAGCCCCCCTGACCCGCGAGGGGGAGCGAGGAGAGAGGAGGGGGGGCGGGAGCGGAAGGAGAAGCGCAGGCGGTGCTCCATTCAAAAAGAGAACCCAACACAAGAGGAGGAGGGAGGGGAGGAGGAGGAGACGCGACCCCACTGCTCTCTGCAAACCAAGAACCCAACCGAGGAGGGTTGGGAAACATAATGGTAGTCGAATTAGTAGTCCTTCTACTGGTAATAGTAGAAACAGCTGTAATAATGACCCTAGTAAACGTAGCAATACTAGGACCTGATCAATAAAAGAAGCTGCCACAATAACAATGTAAGTGGGGGTGCTAGCAGCAGTACGGGTGACAAATAATCGTGGCCGCGGTAGTGGTAGTAATACTGGTGACGATCAAACTGATAATAAGAATCGTCGTCGCTGCACCCGTAGTAGTCGCAATACAAGTCAAAATAGTGTTATCATCGTCGCCGTCGGCATGGCAAACAAAAAACACGCAAGCTGGTGTCTGAAGCAGTAGCAGCAGCAGCAACCGCATTACAAGTAGATGGTGAAGTGGTAGCAGTAGAACAGCTAATAGCAGTAATAGTCGCAATCGTAGTCGCAATAGTAGAAGTCGCAAAACAACCATAGTAGCACTACTCGTAGCAGCAGGATTAGCATTAGTTGCCGCAGTGGCCGTGATAGTAGTAGTGGTCGTCGTAGCTGTTAGCGTGGCCATCCTAGTAGTAGTAATCGTATCTACGGTTGCAGTAGCAGTAGCAGTAGCAGTAGCAGTAGCAGTAGTAGTAGTAGTAGTAGTAGCAGTAGTAGTAGTAGTAGTTATAGTTGTAGTAGTATTGGCAGTATTAGTTCTTAATAGTAGTAGTAGTAGTAGTAGTAGTAGTAGTAGTAGTAGTAGTAGTCGTAGTAGTAGTAGTAGTAGTAGTAGTAGTAGTACTAGTAGTAGTAGTAGTAGTAGTAGTAGTAGTAGTAGTAGTAGTAGTAGTAGTAGCAGTGGTAGTAGTAGCCGTAAGACCAATAAGAGTAGTAGCAGTAGCCGTAGTAATAGAAATCATCGGTGTCGCCATCGTAGTCGTGGCACAGATTGTAGAATCAGTAGTCGTCGTAGCGGTGGCACTAGCAACAGCAGCAACAGCAGTAGCAGTAGCAGTAGCAGTAGTAGCAGTAACAATAGCCGTCGTAGTCGTAGTAGTAGTAGTAGTAGTAGGAATGCTGAAATTGGGTGGTAGAAAAAAGGTCGTGTCAGTAATAGTAGTAGCAGCGATCGCAAATGCAGTATCGCAACACTAGCAATGACATGGGTAGCCGTACTGGCCGTACTAGTATTAGCCGTCGTACGACTGTTCATCCTAATAATGGTCGTAGAATTTAGAAGTTGCAGTCGTTGTAGACGTAGGGGTAGTAGTACTAGTTATAGTAGTAGTAGTAGTAGTAGTCGTCGTAGTAGTAGTAGTAGTAGTAGTAGTAGTAGTAGAAATAATAGTAGTAGTAGTAGTAGTAGTAGTAGTAGTAGTAGTAGTAGTAGTAGTAATAGTAATAGTAATAGTAGTAGTAGTAGTAGTAGTAGTAGTAGTCGTCGTCGTAGTAGTGGTAGTAGTAGCAGTAGTAATAATAGTAAACAAAACATAGCCGTCGTCGTCGTCGTAGTAGTAGTAGTAGCGGTAGTCGTAGTACTAGTCGTAGTAGTAGTGGTAAAAAGAATACTAGTACCAATATCCATCATATTAGAAGTCGGGATAGGAATAATGGTGGTAGTACTCGTAATAGTAGCAGTAGTAGTAGGTCGTAAGAGTAGTAATAGTAGTAGTCGTCGTCGTCGTCGTGGTGGTGGTAGTAGTAGTAGTAGTCGTAGTAGTAGTAGTAGTGGTAGGAGTAGTAATAGTAGTAGTAGTGGTAGTAATAGTAGCAGTAGTAGTAGTGATAGTAGCAGTAGCAGTAGCAGTAGTAGTAGTAGTAGTAGTAGTAGTAGTAGTAGTAGTAGCAGTAGTAGTAGTAGTAGTCGTAGTAGTAGTAGTAGTAGTAGTAGTAGTAGTAGTAGCAGTGGTAGTAGTAGTGGTAGTAGAGGTGGTGGTGGTGGTAGTAGTATTGACAATGGAACTACGAAGAGGAACTAATGATACGGGAAAATTGAGGATTCCTTTGATTCAT